CCACACCACACCACCACACCACACCACCACACCACACCACCACACCAAATCACACCACCACACCACACCACCACACCACACCATATCACACCACCACACCACACCACCACACCACACCACCACACCACACCACCACCCCACACCACACCACCACACCACCCCACCACCACACCCCACCACCCCACCACACCACCCCAACACACCCCCCCCCCCCCCCCCCCCCCCCCCCACACCACACCACACCACCACCACACCACACCACCACACCACACCACACCACCACACCACCACACCACCACACCACACCACCACCACACCACACCACCATCATACCACCACCACCACCACACCACATCACACCATCACCATCACCACACCACCACCACCATCACCAAATATAAAAACCATCAAAGACTCCAGGAAGAAGGGACTGCAGTGAACACATTGTGAGTGGTGGGAATTGTCCTTACCCATTGAGGCGGGACTGTGGCAGTTCTCTAGCATTGCATCATTGCTTAAGTTCCTTTGCGCAGGTTCCAGCTGCTCCCATTCCTTCTGAGTAAAAGCCACAGACACATCTTTGAATGTTATTGATTCCTACTATACTCCTATTCAGTCTAGTACTTCTTAATTCTCCACATTCATGAGTGATTTGAACAACAGAATTTGTTTTTACCTCAACTATTCATTATTGACCACAATGTACAATTAAACATGCTTGCTTAACATTTAAAGAAACAGGTTCTGGGAACACATGTGAAATGTGTTGGAAAGTTCCAGCAAAGGTCCAAAGTGTTCAAGGACTTTTCTAGGGACTGGGTTATATTGGGACTAGCTGCTGGTATATACAAAAATCCTACACTCCAGTTCCTAAAGACAAAAATTTAGATCTCAATCCCATTGTCCAAATTGATTCACCTATTAGCTCACATTCAGATGTACTCTGATTGTGATTTCATTTTTCCAGTGTAACTCCAAATTGTAACCGTAATCTCTTGCCTTTGATTACCACAATAAAGTTCTGATCTTCTGATACCTACTGTAATGTATCCCTGTAGTTCATGTTCCATAGAGTAACCCATGATGATCTTTTTGATGTATCGGTCAGATCAAATTACTTCCTTGCTTAAACCCAGTGTTTTCTCATTGAAATTAGAATAAAATCCAAATCCAGCACTAACCAATATGATCTCACATGATCTAATTAATACCTTCTACTACTGATCTTGTTTTTTCTACTTTTCCTGTATACATGTATGTGTATGTGTGTTCCAGCCACATTAATTTTTCTTCTCTCTCTCTCTTTTCTAGTATAACAAGAACTTAATTCCTATATTGAGGCTTTATCAATTGGCATTCTTTCTTTTCAAACACCCATTGGATCTGTGCATTAGCCACAGCCTGTCATAATTTGTGTTCAAATCAACTGTCATTTCTTCTAAAGATTAATTTGAAAATGTCTCACTAGTGATCTACTACATTGTCCTTTCCCACTTTCCTCACAGCAGTTACAAATGCCTGGAAACTATCTTACTTCCACTTAGATTTACATTCTTGCTGTCTCTTTCCCATTTTTAGAATTTAAGACAGGCTGGCTCTGACTGATGCTACTTAGAACATTTTCTGGCATAAAATAGGTGCTCATCTTAAGTCTGTTCCACAGTTTTCCAATCATTGACATCCAAATATTCCTCAGTCACTAGCCTTCACACACATCCCCTACATAGAAGTTCCCAATTACGATTTTTCACAGAACAACCTATAACCTCCATTGAACTCCAGTCAGTGACCTCACAGAACCTAATCGTGAAGCCCACCAACCTCATTGTGAACTCTTGACTTTATGATCCTAGTCTCAGAATCACGAAGGACTTTTAATAATTAATATTTCCTACCAAGAACTCCATCACTAGTGGGACAATGAGGACTATTGGTCCCTTTTCTCCCTAGATGACAATCTACCATCCCCACAGGTACTTCAATATAAGACTCCTCATATTCCACCAACTATCACCCTCCCGTTAGCTTCCAGGCTCCCAACTACTCACCTTAACACACAAAACACCATCTCTGAAAGACACTGCTGATCGGACTTCTAGAAATACCACCATCCCCGACCACAAGGCCCCAACCTCTGATCCCCACATAGTCCAAAAGGCACAACTGTCCAATCTCAGCACTGCCCCTCTGCCAGTCCACAGCCTGTAATCCCGTTACCTATAATGATTGTTTCCATACAGTCTAAATTCTAATCCTTATAGGGCTTCCCCTTCTCAGATGCACCACAAAGCCTTCATTTCTGATCTTGCTGCCTTTCCAGACCCAGATTCAATCGCTGTCGGTGACAGTTACAGACGTCTCCCCTCCCCCAAGCATCACTATCTAGTCTGATCCATCAAAACACTGCTTTCTTAAAATTATAGCAATCCCCGCCTAATGCCTCTAACACCACAGGTATTATACCGGTATACCTAACACTCCATATGCCCATAATACCCTAACACCTAGATTTCTCAGAACACCAGCCTCCCAAAAGACATCGACGCCACAAATTCTCAAATCTTGGCTTCAGACTCCAGTCACTCTCTGATCACTGACCGCCAAACTGCCCCCAAACCCTTACGTTGGGCCCTCACCGCATCGCTGTCCGAGGGCTCGGGTGAGGTCATCGTCCTCGGACTCCCGGCCTTGTCTGCTGTTCCCGCACTCCTCTGGCCCAGTGCCTCTGGCTTTGTCAGGACCTGGTTGGAGTCAGAGGCCGACATGGCGGCCACCCCGAGCGCCGCTTCAGAGGGTCCCGGGACTTCGATGGCGGCGCCCTGCGGAGATTGCTTGTGGGCGCGGCCATCTTGGCATGGACCCTGCCGTACAGCGGAGGCGCAGGCGCCTCTGGGATCAGTGTCCCGGCAGAACGGGCTTCTGGCTACTTCAGGGTCCCAGAGGCGCTGGATGCTCAGGCAAGAAGTGCGGCGGGAAGGTGCTGCAAAGCACGCAAAGCCCTGAATTGAAATCCCGGAGGCACAGGGAGGTTTCATCTCGGGAGTTCTGTTACAGAACGTGGAATTGCTTGAAACCCCGGAGACACAGGGAGGTTTCATCTCGGGAGTTCTGCTACAGAACGTGGAATTGCGTTTCCACAGGTTTCTTCCAAAGACTGTTGCCAAGGAAACCTGGGAAGCAGAATGACGAATCCTGCAGTGAAAGAAACAAGAAAAGCCGGTCTAGACTTGTAATACTGATTTATTGCTGAGACATAAGATAAGTTCTGTTTATGATTTATTAAAGCTTGCCTGAGGATTCAGAAAGCAAAGTCAGCCACAAGCTATAGAAGCCAGGCACACACCTTTAATTCCAGCAGCCAGAAACTGGAGGTGGTGGTACATCCCTTTAATGCTAGGACTCAGGATTAAGAGATAGATGGATCTCCGTGAGTCCAAAGCCATCCAGATCTATACAAGAGTGAATCAGTCTAAAAGAGAATTATAGTTCACACCTTTAATCCCAATGTTAGGGAAGTATATAAGACAGAAGCAAGGTCTCAGAGGCATCCATTCTCCTGTCACACTGAAGATAGGAGCCTTCATTCTCCAGCCACACTGAAGAGAGGTTATAGTTTGAGGCTTGGTGAGGAGTTTGTGGATCAGCCCTTTCAGGCTGAGCTTGAGGTAAGAGCTAGTGGCTGGTTGCTTTGCTTTTCTGATAGTCAGTTTGAAGTTTGAACCCTAATACCCGTCTCTGGGTCATTTATTTATTAATGTTACAGAAACACAAGATAAGTTCTTTGGGTTACTGTTAAAAAAAAAAAAAGTGTCACTCAGTGAACACATCACTCCTGATGAGAGCCCAGCTTTCACCAGAATCACACAGCTGTTAACATGACTTCTCAGTGCACCACTTGACATGTTCATTGCATTCACTCAATAGTTTGTTTTGTTTTTTTTTTTTAGAGTTTCCAATTTGTAAATGTGTTCAATCAAGGTACTTGACCCTGTTTGTGCTGGGCAAAGAACAAGACTCTTTATTCCCCAGTTTAAATTTGCAGTGGGGCAGACGAGATGAGATTGTTGCAAATGCATTGTTTTGCTTTATTGACTCAAACATCCCTGTTTGAGTTGAAGGTGGAACGAGTGTGGTGACTCTGCCTGCTGTCCCAGTACGTAGGAGGCAGAGGTAGACAGTCTTTTCTTGACTAGCCTGGTATGTAGAGTGAACTTGAGGTTACCCTGGGCTACACTAAGCATTTGTCTCCAAGGCCAAAACAGAATACAGTTTGTTATTGATTTATTTAATGTGTATGTGCAGGGGAAGATGGAGACAGAGCTGATTTGTGAAGGTCAGAGGATAAATCTCTAGAGTTACTGCAACTGAGACCCAGGATCTCACTTAGTTCTTCAGACTTACCCACCACAATGATATCTCCACACTGAGCCTTCTCACAGACACTAAAAATGTAAGATGTTGCCATCTTTCCTGACATTCCCTTCTGAAGACAGAACCTAGAGCCTTGCTTACTAGGCAACTTCTCTATACTGAGCTAAACCCCAAAGTCCAAATTCAAACAAACAAAATAATCCCTGTTTTGCACTTTCACCTTGAAGTAGTAAGGGATTGTCTGCCTGTCAGCAGTAGTTTCATCCTCTCGTTGTGGAGTATTCACCAGAGAAGACTGCTTGGACATGGGTTTAAGCCAATAGAAAGTCTCTATTACCCTGGCAGACTTCTACTGCTCAGGTGCAGGCCACACCAATCAGAAGAACAGGTGAGTGACCTGTAGATGAACTTTCTCATCAGGACCACTCACAAATAATGACATGGAGACTAATTGATTATGAAAGCTTTACATATAGCTTAGGTTTGTCTCACTAGTTATTATAACTTAAATTAACCCGTTTGTAATAGTGAGTCTTTTCTGTCCTGCCTGCTAGCTCCCAAATAACCACATGGAGACTTATTATTAATTATGAAACCCAGCCAATGGCTTAGCCTTGTTTTTAGCTCTTAAAACTCAAATCAACCCATGTCTTTTAATCTACATTCTTTTTCTGTGGCTTGGTTAATTTTACTTTGTAATGCCCATGCTGCTTGTTCTGCATCTGGCTGGTGACTCCTCCCTTCTTCTTCCCAGCATCCTCTGTGCCTATAAATCCTGCCTAGATATTGGCCATTCAGCTTTTTATTAAACCAATCAGAGTGACATCTTCACAGTTTACAAAAAGATTATTCCACAACACCCATATCTTATTTTGTTTTGGTTTTTTGAGACAGGATTTCTCTGTGGCTTTGGAGGCTGTCCTGGAACTAGCTCTTGTAGACCAGGCTGGTCTTGAACTCACAAAGATCCATCTGCCTCTGCCTCCCGAGTGCTGGGATTAAAGGCGTGTGCCACCACCACCCGGCTCACCCATATCTTTTAATCTAAGTTTTTTTAAAAAAATGTGGCTTGGTTACCTTTACTCTGTAGTTCCCATTCTGCTTTCTTTCCATCTGACTGGAGACTCTGCCTTTCTTATTCCCAGGGCTCTCTCTGTCCACCAGTCCCTGCTATACCTCCTGCTTAACTATTGGATGTTTAGCTTTTTATTAAACCAATTACAATGACACATCTTCACATGTTGTAAAGGAATTTTCCACAACATTTCCCCATTTTTGTCTAAATAAAAGGAAAGGTTTTTAATTCTAACACAATAAAACTACAAACAATAAGAACAATTGTAAGGTAAGAATTATATTCATAATCGTCAGTCTATTTGTATTTGGCATATTCAGAGAAAATATTCTACCTTGATGAGCCCAAAGCTCTGCACAAAACTTACTTTCTATCATAACTAAGGAAAGCTGTAACTATAACTAGCTAGTTTTCAACTCCATCAAAGACTCAAGTAGAATATACTATTAACTGAGTAACAGGAAGTGTAGAGCAAGCAACTTCCAAATCTATGGAAATGACAGAAACATCTGGCTGCCTGGACAGTCACTCAAAGTTCCTCTGAAATGTTGGGGCATCCATCTTCAGCCTATAGGTCTAGAAGATCTGATAGACTTTTCTGTGAAGCAGGAATTTTTGAAGGACTGTTCTACCCTGTCTTGGGAAACTTTGGTAGTTGCTTTCTTCTGTGTCCTGGTTATCCAATTTGGGCATACTGTCAGCAGTCAAGGCAAGGGCAGTTTCTTTGCCTGGTGGCCAACTTTTGCTGCAAAGAAAGCAAACTCCATATGGAGGCTCTTTGATGTCCATCATCTTCTCTGAAGTATATTGGTGCTTCCAGGAACAGATGGGACCCATTGCCATGAAAAGTCTTATGTTATTAAAATACCTTAAATGTCATATTTTGTAAATCTTTGAAGTGTTTAAAGACCACCTTTCTATCTAAAATATATCTGCTCGACCTTAAAAACATACCAATAGTGACTACAAGTTGGTTATAGGTGACTACTTAGCTGCACTTCATTATTGTTCTAAATAGTTTGTAGTAATAAGTTTCAAGAACTAGATACGTACATTACATTGTTAAATGAGCTGTATAGGTAAAATACCTTAAACAAGAGTAGAAACATATATACAGTATGTTTTAACAAAAATAACTTTAAATTTGTGTCAATGTACAAAAATCCATACCAATGTAAAATATTTAAGACTAGTAGTTGCTTTTTTACTTTAAAAGTAGATTCAATAATCTACTTTTTTATCCTATCATTTCTATATCCACTCATGTTTTCTTTTCAGAATGAGACCCCTGAATCTAATCTCCTTTGTTCAGCTTTTTTCCTGACCACTACCAATAATAACTTGTAACTAACCTCCCTAAATGACAACAAATGCCCATAATCCACTGAATGACTAGAAACCATCCACCTCACCTCTTGGCAATATGGGTATTGTGTTCTCTATATTGCTTCCTGTTATCTGGGAGTGATGATATTTTTAGGAGATCCTGAGAAAATTAAGGTAATAGTTGAGTCCTGGGAGAACTAGCTGTGGTTTAGTCTCAGTGCGATGGGAAAGTACAGGGCTTATCTGAAGTCTAGCTGGAGTAATCGGTGAGACTGAACCATCTCAGCAAACAGCCTCGAAGCTCTTCTGGATGTGGAACTCAGAGGAAACTGCAACAGAGACACTCTGAGACGCTGGCTCACCGAGGCCACCTGTTTTCATTGGCGTTTGGTCCTCTTGCTCTGAAAACTCACAAACTATCAAAGGTAGCATACATATCTGCATTAACGTAAGTATGGACTGTGCATTGTACACAAGCCAGCCAAAGATGACTTTTTTTTGTTTTATGTTTGAGCAGGTAAAATATATGTCACCAGTCATGTAGTTGTTGTTGTTGTTATTTTTGGTTTATTTCCTTATGTCTGTAGCTAGGATTTTCAGGGGCTCCTCCTCTATCAAATGCGATCTCAATGAACCTTGAATGAATTCACTGCCTTTTATTTTCTGTGGAAACAAAAGCATAACCTTGCTGCTCAATAATCCTTTGGTATACTGAAGATTTCTTATTTGGATTAGTTTAATAAGTCTCTGTGTCATTATTTACAGGATGGCAGTTCCGACCTAAAAGTACAACTACAAATGCTGCCTAATATCTGGCTACTGTCCACATAAGGCCTAAAAAAGCTTTCTAAAGTTCATGGTCTGTTGGGTAGGCTCAGTGCACGTGGCATACACAGGTGCAGCTAATTTAAGAGACCCTGCTACTGAGCACTTGTTGGGCAGTGGGCAGCATGCACTCAGTGGTGGGAGACTAGATAAAAATGCCTACTGCAGCTTGGAGCCAGAAACTTCCCATAGCTGGCAGATAGATTCTCTAGGCTGGGTGCACAGACATGAGGCTAGGCTTTTACAAAACCAAGTGTGGGTGGAGACAGCCACCAGAGTCCTGTGATGGGGGGCCTAGCTGCTGTTTAGCAGTTAAAGATTTGGCTCTAACAATCAGAGAATAAGGAAGAAACAAAATAAGTCAGGCCAGATTGAGAAAACTGCTGAACATATATAGAATGCTTAAAAAGGTGCTTACATGCTGAAGAAAGAAAAGAAAATGGGTAAACAACTAATAGAAAATAAATGAATACATAGTTGGAAAAAAACAAAGGTTTTAAAGAGAGAGTATTATTAAATCAAAAAGCCACGTGAAGAGAGGTGAATATACAGGAAATTTGGATCCCCTATGATGTTTTGTTGAATATAAATTTTTAAACTGATGATGAAGAAAAAAATAGATGCTCAGAAATATGGAAACTGTTAAATTAAAACAACATGAATATATTTCTGTGAAAAAAATTGCTGTGGATTTACTCAAAATTAATAAAATCAGATTTGAACAGGAAAGACATACAAAAAACATTGACAACAGTCATGAAAAAAATAAATCAAGGAAGATTAGCAAAGCAACCCAGTCCCCCTCTCCAGTATTTGAATACCTTCTAGAACTCTTGGTCCCTCACTGCCAGACCCAGTCCTATCACTTGCCAAGTATTGTTTTCCTGGGGTAGACTCGGGCTTGTACCTTCTTCTTCTCTCTGGCCGCAGCAGCAGCGACAGGAGCAGGGGGCGGGGTGCTCACCCTGCACTTTTCTTCAAGGTGGCCCCTTGCAATGCAGTGGTGCAGTCTGACATAGGCGCCATCCAAGCATTGCCTAAGTCTCTTCTGCCAGGTCTCCTTGTCCTCTCCATTCTACCACCTGTTTGCTTAGGGGAGAAGAGGTGATCAGTGACTGGTCCCTAAGTCTTCTCCTCAAGCAAGTCTGAGATACTCCTTGACAAGGTCATGCTCCAACACTGGCTAGAAAATCGATCCAGTCCCCTAACAGTCCCCATTGCCTCTTTTGCAAGGAATACACACGCTCAAACTTCTTGGCATGTTCCCGAGCTAACACTCCTGAACCTCCAGATGCCAAGGCTTGTGCCTTCCTCTGTCACTGGCGGGAGGTGGGCTCGCCCTGCTCTTGTCTTCAAGGTGACCCCTGGCGCGGCGGTGGTGCGGTCTGCAGAAGGATCCACCCGAACTTTGCCTAGGTCTCTTCTGTCTGGGTTCCTTGTCCTCTCGACTCTGCCTTTTGTTTTCTGAGGGGAGAAATGGAGGTGATCAGTACCTGGTTCCTAAGCCTTCAGCTGAAGCAAGTCTGAGATGCCACTTGTCAAGGCTATGCTCCAAGACTGGCCTGAAGATCGCTCTGGTCCCCTAACAGTCCCCAATGCCTCTTTGGCCAAGGCCTCCACAAGCTGGAGCTTCAGGGCATGTTCACGAGCTAACTCTCCTGAACCTGCAGATGCCAAGGAAATCTCAGCAGTCAGCACAGCCACGGGCAAAGGACTGCAGACTCACTGCCGCCCCACCTCCACCAACCACCCTGGGTCGGACACCAACCTAGTTTGGAATTCCCCAGGGCACCCACAGTGTAGCCTTCCTCCCTCCTCGCCTCCCTCAGACACGTCCCTTCTGTTTCCCTAGCCCATCAGTCTGTCAAAACACTAACACCA